TAGACAGAGTGGAAGGGAGGGATGGAGAGAGAGAGAAACACTGATGTAAGAGAGACACAGACTGCACCACCCAGATGGGGGCTAGGGATCAAAACTGCAGCCCTTGACTGGGAATTGAACCCACAATTTTTTGGTCTGAGGGCCGACACTCCAACCACTGAGCCAGACCAGCCAGGGCAAATCATTTCTCTTTAATGAATGTGTTGACTGAGCGAGCGAAGTGACTTCTATAGGGGAGGGAGGGCAATGCCCCAATTTGTTCCACTGTTTCAGTCATAACAATGCACATTTCTTTTTCTTTAAAAATTGTTTTGCTACGTGTACAGTGGGGAGGCATATACTTTTCCTTTACAACTCAAGTCCTGTAGAAGCTATGTTCCATATGTCACATTCCACCACTGGAAAGACTTTGCTTGCTGCTCATGGAGATACTAAATTAGCATTTAAAATGTTTTATTTGTAAGATCAGGCCCCTTTTGGCTTTGGCCTGATCTAAAGAGTCACTGTGAGGTCACTGGGGGTGGGCTGGTGGCAGAGAGCCCACATAGCTTCAGTGCAATGTGCTATTTTAGTTTATGCCCCTGAAATGACACCGTCCCTTTGGCACCAGCCAAAGAAGGCTTCTTAGACAGCTATGGGAAGAGACCGTTTTGCAGTAATCCATGGCACAGGCCACACAGGCCTGTATTACTGCGGGGGCAGGGCTGGGGGCACTGTGTCCGCTCCCAGGCCCTGTGACAAAGAACCAGGGAAATGCTTGCCAACCGCAGCTCCTGTCCAGGAATGCAGGGTGGAGATTGCGGCCAGCAACCTTGCAGATTGCAAAAGCAAACAGGGACCAACTTTTTCCAACCCAGGAAACCAGGGCAGCCTCTTCCTGCCCCTCCTCCAATCCCACTACTCAGTCCACTTGAGACCCCAGAGATAGGTCTGAGAAAGGTCCAATGTAGCTAAATAACATTTATCTTTATACAACATAAAATATAGCCTCATCAAGCAAAATGCTCTACTCTCTCCAGTCAAGGTACTACACTTCTCATACTTTTCCCAGAGGCTATGACTTAACCAGTCTGAACTTTCAGGATTTATTGGTTTTGTACATAATGTTAATTTAATCTCTCTCTCTCTCTCTCTCTCCTTCTCTTCCTCCTCCTCCTCCTTCTTTTTAAAAAAAAATTCTGGCAAGGGCAAATGCCATTCAGTTAACAACGCCCAAACAGGCCAGACTACAACAGACTGCATCATTGTTTACCTATTTTAAAAAATCTCCTATGACATCCAAAGTAATCGGGACAGAAAGTGCCATCTACTTACTTACACCTTTTTTTGATACACCTTTTGCAATTTTCTTGCTCTCTCTGAACTAAAGTTTCCTTGGAAAGGGCAACATTGTTAACATGCTTGGCTTGAGGACAGGGGAAAGGGTCGGTTCATTTTCCCCCGACCACCTGCTGGTCTGAGAGCACCAGTGGTTCAAGGGACTTTCTTTTCCCAGTTCACCTCCATCTGGGAGAGTTCTCCTTCTTTGGGGAGGTTGGAACAACTTTCCTAGAGGCAGGAACGCAGGCCAGATGTGCTCTCACGCACTGTACCAGCTCTGGGGAACATCTGAAGGTCTGGCAAAGCTTCACAGTCCCTAGTGATCTTTCCAGAAGCGAGATCTTAAAAGGCCCGTGAGGGTCTAGGGAATATACAAGCCTGAGAAATACTTTGCACCATAACTGTGAACACGTGGTGTCTTATTATTCTCGTCATTCACTTGGCCACAGGTTACTGAGCAGGGCAAGAATGGAGGCAGCAGGGCTCTGGTTCTAAGGACTAATGCAGCTTTACCTTGGTCCAGGGGTAACCTGGCTGCTAGTCACTGACCGACCATCACCTGCAGGATGGTGTCCTCTCCATACTGTTCTGTTCTTGAAAGCTGGCCAAAGGCCTCCACGGTCCCTGGCACTTTTTTCTCTTATCATCATCATCATCATTGTTATGGTTATTGCTACCAGTGTTGTCTACCCACCTAGTACGACTGACATACACTGGGCTACCTGTCAAGAAGGCTCAGTGAGAAAGCAGATGACAGCCCTTTCATTTGGTGAATTTGAAACAACAATGAGAGAGGCTCCTCTAATTCCAATTTATTGGTGTCTCAGCGCCCTGGTGATCAGATCAGTCATTTCCCCAAGACCAGACTGCCTGATAGTAACGGTTCTAACCAGCACGATGGTGACATCATTGGTGTTATTCGGAAAGCAAACCTGTGTGTGTGTGTGTGTGTGTGTGTGAGAGAGAGAGAGAGAGAGAGAGAGAGGAATAAATAAGTACTGGGGTTTCTGGTGGTAGGTGTATACAGCTTCTCTCTCTAACCACAGGCAACTCCTCCCACAACCAGAGAAGTTACACCCCAATGCCTCTTCATTCTCTGAACCTTAACATTTTCTCTAACCACAGAACACAATAGCTGAAGCAAACAGGATCTCAGAAAGGCAGTTAAAATCATCTATTTCTGAGCACAACTCATTTTTTTCCTCCCCAGGTCTTTATGTGGCCCATACGTCTAAATGAATTTGTTTTTACTTTTGACCAAATGGACCTGCATTCTAAATCCATGTTCCTTTAGGGAGAAAGAGCCCTTTAAGAATGTGTCCATTACTAGGAAACATGGTTGCCTTAGCAACAAGCTCCTGAGCATGTTTCTTTCTTTGTGTTAGAGAAAACTCGCTGTACCCAAAGCTTTCTGAGCTCTCAGGCAGCTAAGTGAGCCAGAGCCTCTGACACCTCGGCGTGCCGAGCTCTAGGTGGGTGCAATCCACTGTGCAGAAAGGCTTAGTGCGGACGCGGGAGTTCAGAATGAGACCTCACAGAACGTGTACTCAACCCTCATCTTTAGGTGAAGAATAAGGCTTAGGTTGACTGACGTGTGAGAAATCCCACGGCCAGGTAGTAGCAGGTGCAGCGCTGAGATCCAGGCTCCTGACCACTTCCCTGGGGCTGTTTACACCACAGCAGGCCTCTGAAAAGTTGTTTTAAAACTTGAGTTCTTTAAGCAAGGTCCTATTTTGAATGTGCTCGATTAACCGGACAGGTGAGAACACTCTGTGCTGAATCCCTCTGTTACTTTCCCACCTGTTCTGTGAAGCTGCTCTTGCACATCCATGGGAGGGGTCGGTGTTTACTTAGTGCTCACTGTGTGCCAGGCAAAGCATTTGCCCGTGACAACAGTGAAACTGCACACCTACGAGGCTCGTGCTCTGCTTTATAAATGCACAACCGGAGGCACAGGGAGGTGAGGTGACACGCTCAAAGCCACGGCGTGAACCCAGTGGATACGCCCAGGCAGTGCGCGCAGAGACCAGCCTTTGACAGTTAGCACCCAGCTGGCGTGGAATGCCACGCCCCCTGGGCAGCTTTCATGTAAACTGGTCAACGTGAGCCCTGCCTCTGGAAACCAAGTACATACACACCAGATGCTGGATTTGCAAAGATTCTCTCTCTAATCTTTGGAGATGAAGTTCAATGAGATGATTCCTCTGGAAAGAGCAGATTTTATGGATGACCCACTGCTCCCCAAACTGCCGGCAGTACTGGAATAAACGCTCACATACAATCCATTCAACCTTGTCTCAGCTTCATTGGCTCAGTAGGACAGGCGGCGCGGGCCCACTCCTCGTCCTGCTTCATGTTCATCACCTTACTGCTGGTGACTGCTTCGGGGAGGCTAGGCCCACAAGCCCGCTGTGTCGCCGCCGACCTCTGCGGGGAGGGCCGCACACAGCCCGCAGTGCCAGCATGGGTCTGTAGATGGCGCTCTTCAGCACCATCACCAGGTGTAACGGAGAAACCCCTTTGGGAAAGGAAACGCCCAATCCAGGCTTAAAGTCCTAGATGTGAACATTTAAGTCCTGAAGGGAGAAAATGTCTAAGTAGGTGTAACCAGAGAAAACACCTCCAAGCAGAATAACGGCCCCTAAGCTCAAACTGCAGCCTGTAAATACCTGTGGTCAGAGGAAACAACACCTTGAACCTGGCAAACAGCCACAAAGCCCCAGCTGATAGTTTTCAAACTGATTTAAGCTGTGATCAAAACCCAAATCATGGTTTTACATATTTCTGAGGCCAGGACAAACTAACAGGAAGACAGACATCAACACGCTGGTAGCGGTCACCTCCTAGATGACCAGACAGCAAGAGGTCTGAGCACAGATGCCACGCCCTTGACGGTCCCTTCAGTAAACTTGCATACTGAGTAACCCCAAAACCTACTAGTGCTCCTTACAAAATTGCTTGATAGAGTTTTTGAAAAATTACTAGATACGGCTTCTTAGGGAAAACAACCAAATTTCTGAGGTCCCTGAATCCAGAACACTGTTCATTCAGACAAATTCAGAAAGCTCTTGCCTATGGGCCAGTGTCCTAGGGGGCACTTGAAGACACCAGTGGCAGATGACGAGGTGACCCCTTAAGACCACAGCCCTGTGAGACCCCCCCCCCCTGCCCCGCGGTCAGGCTGGGGGAGCAGTGGAGAGGAAGGGAGGTCGGCTCTGCCACTGGTCCCCAGCTGCGGGTCCCCACCTGGAAAAGAGGGAGCAGCAGGGAGAGTTGGGGTCCAAGGAAGAGTCAGAGATCCAGAGGGGAGGGATGGTGCAGGTGAAGCAGGAGGGTCCTGTGGAGAACCGCCCTGGCACACTCGTCCACCTGCCCCGAGCAGTCCTGCTGGGTGCTTCCCTCACGGTGCTGGACCAAAGACACAGAAGAGGAGGGGAAAGATTCGATCTTATTTTCCAAGCTTAACTCAACCTTATTTAATCATGACGAAAAAGAAAGGAGTACACGGAGCACCCATTCCACTCCCTGTCCCCACCCTGACTTGCACTCCTTGGGTGCCTTGATCCACACCTGCCACCACCATCCCATCCAGGACGCACTCGCTGTCATCAGGTCTTTGCCTAAACCAGGCAGGAGTTTGCAGCAGATCAGAGCGGCTCCTGCCAGAAAGATGTGTTTACCTTCCGCGAAAATATCATCCTCTTCATCGACCAAAAACTCCTCGGGGTCCAGAGACTGCATCTTGTGGAGGGTGGTCCGTGAGCGGCAGGGGCAGGTGGTCCCAGCAGCAGCCCTGAGTCCCAGCTGCCACACTGTTCTGGGCGGTTTCCTTCCCCTGTTGCCTAAGCCCTGGGGAGGGCAGCTTCCGCATCAGCCCGAGAGAACAGCTTCATTTCTGTGAATGGGCTTGGTGAGCCATCTGAAGTCTGCATTCCCGGTGCGGTCATTCTCAGCCCCAAGAGGCAGAACATTTTCTGGAAAGGGCTGCAGAGCTGGTGGGATCTCAACACAAAATGCCGCTCCAAGTCTGAGAGCAATGGATTCTGTGTCAAAGCCTCAACTGTCATATCTTCCTAAAGAGGAAAGTGGGCTTTTAACGTCGTGTGAATCTGAACACAATGGGCCATGTTGAAAGAGAGGGGCTCACATTTCTCCGGTCTTCTGTTGCGTCGATGACAACTTATCTGCTGAAGCAGTGCCAGCAGCTGCAGGGACGGGGCTTTTTCTGCACTCAGCAATGGTTGCCTTTTTCCTTTGGGGATTCGAAACTTGACAACACTTAAACCACATTTAACATACAGCCAGGCTCTTACTGGGGCAATTAAATCTGTAGCCAATAAACAGATAGCTAGTTTGGATCAAACAACATCCATTTCCCAATAATTACCCGTCTGATTCTTCAGACTTTGTTGCTGAAGGAGAGAATGTAACTGACAGGCAGCCCTCCAAGGGAGGCATCACCTCTGCGCCAGGCGTGGGGCCAGCGTGGCCTCCCTGTGGCACCGCCCAGGGTGCTGAGTTCTGGGTGCTGTGCAAACACAGATCCTGAAGTGGTGATGCAGCTTCATCTGGGGGTCCTCAGGCTCCCCGTCACGCTGTAGCCTCTCAGAAGGTCGGAAATTCAGGCAGTGCACATGGAGAAGACGATGGGGGCTCTTGACCCAAGGTCTTCACTTCTGACAACTTTACTTACTGAGTAGGTTGTTTTGGTAAGTTGATCTATTTTAATAGACTTTATTTTTAGAGCAGTTTTAGGTTCACAGCCAAACTGAGAGGAAGACACAGAGATTTCCCATATACCCCCTGCCCCTGCACATGGATAGCTTCCCCCTTTATCAGCATCCCCGTCAGCGGGCACATTAGTTATAACTGATGGACCTATACTGTCAAGTCATAATCACCCAGAGTCCATAGTGTACGTTAGGGTTTACTCTTTTTTAAAAAACATGTTTTTATTGATTTTTTTTAGAGAAGAGGAAGAGAGAGACAGATAGAATCATCGATGTGAGAGAGAAACATCGATCAGCTGCCTCCTGCACACCCCCTACTGGGGATCAAGCCCGAAACCCGGGCATGTGCTCTGTCTGGGAATCTGACCTCTCACTCCATGAGACAATGCTCAATCCACTGAGCCACACTGGCTGGGCTAGGGTTTAATCTTGGTGGTGTACATTCTATTGGTTTTGACAGTTATGTAATGTCACGTATCTACCATTATAGTATCATTGTTCTACTGCTCTGAAGATTCTGTGCTCTGCCTATTCATCTGCCCCCAAGCCTCTGGCAACCACTGAATTGTTGAACTCCTGATTCCTACGTTGAAGTCCTAACTCCAGCACCTCAGAATGTGACCCTTGGAAATAAGCCATTGCTTATGTAATTGGTTAAGATGAGGTCATCCTTGGGTATGGTGGGCTCCTATCCAGTGTGCTTGTCCTTATACAAAAGGGAGACTTGGGTGCCGGAAGGACACCATGTGCAGATGAGGGCACACCGGAGACTGCCGGGCAGCCAGCAGGCACAGGGGAAGTCAGGGGACACGTGACCTCTCACCACTGCATGGGGACCAGCCCTGCTGAGCCTTGATCTCGGACTTCCAGCACCCAGAACTGTGAAATAATAACTTTCTGTTACCCGAGCCATCCAGTTTGGGGGACTTTGCTATGAAATTCTCCAGAAGAGGCCCAGAAGGTTGTGAAGCTTGTCCTGGGGTGAAATGAAATGAAAGCTCCCATTGGGTGACATTGTCCTCCTCCGAGCATGTCACAGATAGAAATTGAAAAAAAAAAGAAAAGAAACAAAAAAGAAAAGAAACAGCACACTGTGCAGAAACGCTCACAACTAATAAATAAAGAGCTGATCATTATAGCCTGAATTCTCACACCGGGAAACAATATCACGTCGATGTTCATATGTTCAATACAACACACGCCCAGTTCCTTGTACATTTACTTAAATGTTTCCCACTGTGACTGAAATGTAATAGGCACTCATTACTATTTTTCAAACAAAAAAGAATGTGAAATCATTAGGGGTAAAACGTCCAGAAACAAAGTAGGAGGGAGGAATTGAAATTATGAGGAGTGGTTGAACTCAAGAAAGAAAAAGAAGTTAAAAAAAACCCTCACCGAACCAAAAATAATCTTATCATGGTGTAACTTTGCCCGTAAAAATACATGAAATGTGCCTAACCACAAAAGGTTATAACCAAACTGCTGGGATTGAAGGAACAGAACTTTTCAGGGTGTTCCTTTTTTCATGTCGCAAAGAGGAGATGCCGCCAGGCCGGTGTGGCACAGTGGATTGCGTGTTGTCCCACCGACTGAGAGGTCCAGGTTCAATTCCTGGTCAGGGCACATGCCCAGATTGTGGGCTCGATCCCCACTAGGGGGCGTGCAGGAGGCAGCCAATCGCTATATCTCTCTCACATCCATATTTCTAACTCTCTCGCTCCCTTCCTCTCTCTCTCTCTCTCAAAAAAAAAAAAAAAAAAAAGCAATAAAAACATATTTAAAAAAGAAATCTTAATAAAGGCACTAACAAAGTTAGGCTTAAAGAGTTTACATTAAAAAAAAAAAAAAGAGGAGATGCCCACCTCTTGGACTGCAGCGCTTCCAGAGGTTTTGGAAGTCTTCCTGCTCACCTGCCCCAGGTGTAGGGGTCTCTCTTGGCTGTGGGAGCCACACTCAGGGTCACTTACTGCAGGTGCTGGGGAAGCCTGCAGACAGGATCATCCTGTTCAATAGGACTGGACACAAGGAGAATACAAATCTGCTCTCCACTCTGGAAGGAGCCCAGAAAAATGTTTCTATGGCAAGACTAGTGCAGGGTGTGTGGTTCATGAGGTCATAGCCTTGGGCTAAAATGTAAGATAGCTGTGTTATGTTAACCCATAACTAAGGATTTTTAAATGGCATACAATGGACTGTTTCTGAGATTTGACAAAATCAAGTTTCCATCCTGGCTTTGCTACTACCCATGTCTTCATTGAAGTTATTAAATCTGACTCAGAACTCATAAAATGGAACAATAATCTGTAGTTTAGCCATCCTTCTTCTCTGCTATCAGTCGTACAAATTACATCTTGACATATTCATATGCCCAGCAACACAGGTTTATAATTATTGCTTTATGCAGTTCTGTTTTCAATGAGAAAGGAAGAAAGTTACAAACAAAAATGCACTCATACTTTTTATTCATTCTCTTATATTTCCTTATGCAATTACCTTGGCCATTGTTCTTTATCTTTTTATATGGCTTTAAGTTACTGTCCAGTGTCCTTTCATTTCAACCTGAAGTTTTCCCTGTAGCATTTCTGATAAGGCAGGTCTATCTTATATTTCTACTATAAATAAAATACCCCAGTTTTTGTATTTTTGGAAAAATACAAAAATTTCTTCTTCATTCATGAAGGTTACCTTTGCCAGGTATAGAATTCTTGGTTGACATTCTTTCCCCAGGACTTTATTTATTTGTTTGTTTGTTTGTTTGTTTATTTATTTATTTTTTCTTTATTGATTTTAGAGAGAGAGGAAGGGAGAGGAAAAGAGAGATAGAAACATCAATGAGAGAGAACATCAATTGGCTGCCTCCTGTATGCTTCCCACTGGGAATCAGGCCCACAACCTGGGCATGTGTCCTGACCAGGAATCAAACCAACGACCTCTTGGTGCATGGGTTGATGCTCAACCACTGAGCCACACCAGCTGAACTTTCCCCAGGACTTTAAATATCATGCACTACCCTCTGCTCTCACGCTTTCTAATGAGAAAACACCTCTTAGTCTTATTAAGGATCCCATGTCCGTGGTGAGTCATTCCTCATTTCTCTCTTTCTGCTTTAAGATTCTCTCTTTGTTTTTGGCCTTGATGGCTTGATTAAGATGTGCATAGGTGTGGGTTGTTTTTTTTTTTTTGTTTTGTTTTTTAACTTATCTATATTGTTGAATGTATTACAGATGTTCCTCCTTTTTCCCCAATTGACCCCTGCTACCCCACTCCTGCCCCCCTCCTGCCTTTCCCCACACTGTTGTCTGTGTCCATTGGTTATGCATATGTGCATACTAGTTCTTTGGTTTATTTCTTCCCACCCCGCTTCCCTTTGAGGTTTGTCAGTCTAACAACCAATTTGTACCTCTTAATCCCTTCACCTTTTTCACCCAGTCCCTCAACCTGCCCTCCAACCAACAAATGTTCTCTGTATCGTTGAGAATGTTTCTGTTCTGCTTGTTTATTTTGTTTGTAGATTCAATTATTGATAGATATGTATTTATTGCAATTTTGTTCATATTTTTTATCTTCTTTTTCTTAAAGAAGACCCTTCAACATTTCATATAATACTGGTTTGGTAGTGATAAACTCCTTTAGCTTTTTCTTGTCCATTGATTCTAAATGATAGCTTTGCAGGATAGAGCAATCTTGGTTGTAGGTTCTTGCTTTTCATCACTTTGAATATATCCTGCCACTCCTTTCTGGCCTGCAAACTTTCTTTTGAGAAATCAGCTGACAGTCTTATGAGAGCTCCCTTGTAGGTAACTAACTGCTTTTCTCTTGCTGCTTTTAAGATTCTCTCTTTATCTTGAACCTTTTGCATTTTGATGATGATGTGTCTTGGTGTGGGCCTCTTGGGGTTCATCTTGTTTGGGACTCTCTGTGCTTCCTGGACTTGTATGTCTGTTTCCTTCATCAAGTTAGGGAAGTTTTCTGTCATTATTTTTTCAAATAGGTTTTCAATTTCTTGCTCGCTCTCTTCTCCTTCTGGCACTCCCATGATGCGAATGTTGGTATGCTTGAAGTTGTCACAGAGGCTCCTTACATTAGCCTCATTTTTTTTGGATTCTTTTTTCTTTTTGCAGTTCTGATTGGGTGTTTTTGCTTCCTTATATTCCAAATCAATAGTTTGCTTCTTGGCTTTACCTACTCTACTATTGATTCCTTGTAAATTATTCTTTATTTCAGTTAGTGTGTCCTTCATTTCTGACTGATCCTTTTTTATGCTCTTAAGGCCCTAAGTTCATTTAAGTTCTCACTAAGTTCATTGAGCATCCTTATAAGCAGTGTTTTGAACTCTGCATCTGTTAGATTGCTTATCTCCATTTCATTTAGTTCTTTTCCTGGAGTTTTGTTCTATTCTTTAATTTGGGACATGTCTCTTTGTCTCTTCATTGTGGCTGCCTCCCTGTGTTTGTTTCTAAGTATTAGGTAGAGTTGCTATGTTTCCTAGGCTTAATAGGATTGCCTGTTGTAGTGGGTATCATGTAGGGTCCAGTGGACAGCTAGTTACCCAGCTGGGCCCTCCAGGTGCACCCCTAGTGTGGACTGTACCCCTTCTGTTGTAATTGAGTCTTGATTGCTGTTGGCACATCAATGGAAAGGTTTTACTCAGGCTGATCAGCTGCAAGGA